GTCCTCTTCCCTGGGAGCCTTCCCCTGGCCTCTGGGTCAGGACAGCCCTCAGCCCTGTCCCAGCCCTGCCTGGGCCGGGCCACACCCCTGCCCAACTCCGCAGGGTCCCAACGGCTTCACCTTTGTCTTGCGGTCTGTCTGCCTTCCTCGTCCCAGGGAGCGCTCCAGGGAGGGAGGCTCTGCACACAGTAGGTGCTCAAGGAACACTTGTGAAGGAAGGAAGAAGGGAGGACCAAATGCCCATCGCGAGACCCTTGCGGATGCCTGACCTGGGAGTGGGGATGTGGTAGTCTGGGTTATGGCCCTACTACGTGCTGGACCCTGCCAGGGTGAGGATGTGGCAGTGAACAAGACAGGCCGGAGGGGGCGAGGGCTGGAAACAGAGAAGCCCAGGGGGTTACAGGTGATCCCAGGAGAGGGACCCCTGGTCCACTCCAGCTTCAGGCAGGCTTCCAAAAGGAGGTGACATCTGGGCTGAGGCTGAAGAGTGAGCAGAAGGGGTCCCTAAGAGCAGAGGGGAGGGGAGGAGGTCTGGGGCTGGAAGGGAGGTCACCAGGGTCCTGGGGACCCACCCCATGGGAGTGGGAGGGGTGGTGGGGAAGGGGTGGAGCCCTGTCCTGGAGTCATTGTGACTCCTCCGCATCCCTTTCAAACCCCACGACATCAGAGAGAGAGAGAGACACGTTTGTCCTGCTCTGCCTTACACAAGTCCCCACTGACGTCCTTTATGGCAAATCGAGCAGGTCCCGGGTCTGGGCTCGCAGCTCCGCCTGACCTGGGGCTGAGCCGGCACAGCACTGTGTCCATCTCCAGGGCTGCTCCCTCTATGACGAGATCTTGCTCTCCCTTTAGAGCATCAGGCTTCTTGTTACACTGGTCCTTTGTCCACCCAAGGACACACTTTATGGGCCATGGGGAAATCAGTGGCCAACTGATGATATCAGAGAAGTGTTACTATCAGGCAGGGAAAATACGGCCCCCTGTTATTCAAGGAAATGGCCTCATTTTTTATAGATAGCTCTGTGTCCCCTCTATCAGGGCCACCCAGGGTCCCCGGCTTGGGGGTCAGGGTGGAGGCATCCTGACCTATTGCTCAAGCCCAAACCTCCGTCACTCTCAACTTGACCTTCCCCCTTGCCCCACATCCAGTCAGTTGCCCCTCTCCGATGTCATTCATTCAGCCAACAAACACTTATTGAGCCCCTTCTGTATGCCAGGCACGGACTAGGCACCAGACCTCAGCTGCAAACGAAACAGACACAATCTCCACTTGTGGAGCCAACGCTAATGGGCAGACAGACCCCAGATAAGATTTATAAATGAACATATAACAACAAACCAGAACACCAAGGGAACAGGGCAGAGGTGCAGAGAAGCCTGAGTTGGGGAGGACTGAGGCATGAGGTTATTTTAATGAAGGAGTCACTTCTGGGACAGAGCAGAGACCTGAATAAGGGGAGGAAGGAACCATGTGGTTACCTGGGGAGAGGGGACTAGCAAGTGCAAGGGCCCTGAGGCAGACAGACACCAGACTTGCTGCGGTGGAGCTGGCTGGGGAGAGGGAAGAGAAGCAGCCAGGGGCAGGGGTTACTGAGCAGCCAGGAGAGATCTGAGCAGAGAATGGCCAGGTTGACAACGTCTTTTTGGCTGAGAATGGGGCAAAGGGGAGAAGGACAGAAGTAAGGTAGTAAATGAAGAGGTCACGGCAATAGTCCAGGCGAGACGTGGGAGAGGTGGACCTGGCCATGCCACGACAGCAGCAGCTTTCTGGGCCCCCAGGATCTGCAAAGGGGTCAGAGTGGAATTCCAAGGGATGACGGGCAGCTCCGTTTGGGGGACCATGTCCTCTGCATCCTCGGTGCATGGAATATAGTTAATTTCAACAAATAATATGGAAAGAACATTTTTTAAAGGGAAGAGGAGGGCGCCCTCTTTTTTTTTTCCGGGGCAAACTTTTTTCCAAACCTATCTGCGCCATCTTGTGGCGAATTTCTGAAACAGCACGTCTTCGCGTTCTGGGCCTCCGCTGAGCTCTCCCGCCACCGAAGATCACCCACCCTCACTGGCTTTGCCCTTGAGGACAGGAAGGTCGGCCTGGGGTTGAGGTCTGGCCTCCATCTCCACTCCACCGCCGCTGCTCCTCCAGACCTCTCGCTGCCGTCTTCCACCGCGGCCTGAGGCTCCCCAGCGACATTCCAGGTCTCCCCACTCCAAGCCCCACAGACGACCTCACCTAGTGCCAGCCCCACTGTGCCCCAGCAGATGATGGTGACATTTCCTGGGCTGGAACCTGCACCATCCCACCCTGCTGGATTCCAGCGGCGTGCTCTGTGTGCCAGCATCCTTTGTCACACACACACACCTGGAATCTGCTCCCTCCCCATTCCGTTCCTCCAGCTTGGTTCAAGGACATGCTTCCCCCGCCTTCCCGCCCTCCCAGCCCGGCCTGCTACAAGTGTCCAGTTCACACGGGAAAGGAGGCCCAGATTTGGACAAAACAGGGCAAGGGGGCAGTCCCCTCCCTTAATCTGCATGTAAGATCTTTATTGGTACAACACAAAATAACATTTTATGTTTCTTTTGTTTCTCTTTCTCCTTTTTTTTTTCTTTTTAAAGTAATTTTTAATTTAAGGTCACACACTTAACAGGTGTACAGACCCCTAAATAATTAAAATACTTCAGTTAAGGCTAAATTTCCTTTTGATCACTCTCCATTTCCCCTCCATGTCCCCTGTCCTGCTACACACACACACACACACACACACACACACACCCCTTAAAAATGTGTAGAACATATTCGTGTTGTCCCCCCCCCCACACACACACAAATGGAATTGTATGCACATATTTATCCTCGAATTTCTCCCACTCTGTTCTGGGCTCTCGAGCTCAAGCTTAATTTTTTTCCTTCTCAATAATTGTTGGCATTAACTCTGCTCAGAGCTTGCTCGGATGGAAGATCAGGTTGGCTGGGGCGGGGGGGGCGTTTCGCCCCCCGCAGGTCCCTAAACCCCTCTAACCATTCCCCCCCCCATCACTTTTTCACCCTCCGCCCTATTTTCCACTTTCCGCCTCTTTCTCAACCTGGCCTTAGGCCCACACGACGCCCTTAGGGGAAGGTTCCAAGTCCCCGACGCCTTACTAGGTTCCCGGGGCCGATCGCCGGCCCCACGTGCGCTCGGGACTCAGCGCCGCCTGGCGGCTTCTCTGGGTAACTGCAGCCGCGCCTCTGTCCCCGAGGCTCGAACCTGGGGCCAGGAGGAGCCGCGGTGGCCGGGAGGGTCCCGAGCTGGCGGGGCATCTCTGCTCCAGCTTCCGTCCCGGGCAGGGTGCGGGCCTCCGGACCTGCCGGGAGGACTCCACGTTTGCGGGGGCCGGGGCCGCGCCCTGGGGTGGACGGAACCCGCGCTGCGCGTCCCAGCGGCCCCAGTTCCCCGCGGGGTGTGGGCGCCACGGTCTCTGCGCATGGGCGAGACGACAGACCGGTCCTCATCCAGGGCACCTGTCGCCAACACCCGTGGGCTGTAGGAAGGGTGGCCAGCGGCGGGCCTCGGGGAGCACTGGGGACAGCCCCCGCTCCTGGTCCTCCTGTCCCCTGCCAGGGACTTTTTCTCCCTCCCGGTGGCTGTTCTGACTCCTCCCACTAAGTAAGTGACTTATTTCGTGTTTAGTTGTCATCTCCTAGAGCTGGCACTTAATCCCTAATGGGTGAGTGACTTCCACTGAATGAAGGTCTCCGTGTCCGGGACACAGAAAGAGGAGGGGACACCAGGTGGAAAGTGACCCGTGGGTAGTGCCCCCCACCCGACGGAGACAAGGGGGTGGGATGTTTCTCTGTTAAAATCACTCGGCGGGGACGGCACTGAGCAGGCCAGTAATCCCAGCTACTGGGGAGGCTGAGGCAGGAGGACCGCAAGTTTGAGGCCAGTCAGTAACATTTTAAAAGGTCAGGGTATTAAGCCCAATGGTAGAGCCCTCTGGGTTCCGTCCCGAACCACACAAAGGAACAGAGCCGACTTACCCACGGGGTGGAGGGGGCCCCAGGTACGGCTTCCCTAGCAGGCCCTGGGCCCCGGGGCGGACAGCTGGGTGGGCTGGGAGGTGGCTCCGTTGGCAGAGCGCTGTCTTCGCATGCACAGTTCTGGGTTCTGTCCTCAGCACCACGTGTTAAGTAAATGTGTCTAAAATGATAAAAAAAAAAAAAAAGAAAAGAAAAGAAACTTCTCAAAAAATAGTCTATTGAATAAACAACAGAGGTTATAAAATTTCCGGAGAGCTCAGGAATGGGGAGAATATATTGGTTGGGTCCTGTGTGGTGGCACATGGCTCAGCGGCTCCGGAGGCTGAGGCAGGAGGATGGTGAGTTTGAAGTCAACCTCAGCAACTCAGCAAGGCTCTAAGCAACTCAGTGGGACCCTGTCTCTAAATAAAATACAGAAAAATAAGGGGGGGATGTGGCTCAGTGGGCACTCCTGGGACCAATCCCTGGTACAGAGAGAGAGAAAATGAGAATATATTGGTTGAGGCTCATTCATGAATGCAACACATATTAAGCTCCCAATGTATGCAGGGTATTAAAGATACAGGGAAGATCTCTTTGGAGGAGGGGCATTTGAGACTGGCTTGAAATTGGCATCAGATCCTGCCAGAAGGAGATGAGGCAGAAGGAGATTTACTGGGAGAACAAGTCTGGTGGCCCTGAGCTACCGTGGATACTTAGAGAGTGGCAAGTGGCTCTGAGTGTGAGTGGCAAAGGTGACAAACAGGAAAGAGGGACAGAGTTGTCAAGGTTTACTGGTCTCGGTTGCAAAAGGACTTAAATGTGAGGCTTAGCCATTTTCCTGAATTTGGTGAGCGACAGGGAGTATCTGAAGGTGATGATGGATGTACCTGTTTTTTTTTTGTTTTGTTTTGTTTTGTTTTTTTGATGTACCTGTTTAAAAAAATTTTTTTTTTTAGTTGTAGATGAACACAATATCATTATTTATTTATTTTTATGTGGTGCTGAGGATTGAACCCAGCGAGGCGGGGCGGGCGCTCTACCCCTGAGCTACCAGCCCCAGCAGGATGTACCTTTTAATCAAAAATAAAAATAACATGAGAGGCAACTATGAGAAGATGGCTGGAGGTGAGGCTGCAGCAGCAGGGATAGGGGTCAGATCTAAGGGAACTTCCTTTTGGAGTTGGGAGGGGAGCATCAGCTAGGAAGGGGGGTTGGGACCAAGAGTAGCCTCACTCCTGGAGTCCTTGCGGAGGACAAGCCTTCCTGGCTGCCAGAGGAGCAGAGCCTTGTAGTCCTTAACTTCTGAGCCTCAGTTTCTCCAACGGTAAAGCAGAGAGTAAAAAGGGCACCTGCCGCACGCACGGGACCGCGGAAAGATCTAAGCACATGTTAACTCTCACTGTCGCCAGGGGCGCTCGGCGAGCAAGGAGACGAGCTGTGTGACTCTGCACAAGACTCCCGACTTCTCTGGGCCTCGGTTTCCTCATCTGAACCCCAGGAGGAAGGAGCGGGGAGGAGCACGCCGGCTGCCATGCTCGCCCTGCGCCCGAGGGGGCGCCCTCCCCGCCCACAGCCCGGTGGCCCTTAAGGTCCAGGACTTCACCGCCCGCGCCGGGGACCTGGATCCTGGTGAGGGAAGTCCTGGCGCCCCGGGGTGGGGCGGCAGCTGCCTGGGCAAGTCCCCTGCCCGCTGGGGAGGAGCCGGGAAAGGCGGCTGCAGGAAGCGCTCGATCCAGCCGGCTCC